AAAAAAAAAAAAAAATGAGAGAAAGAGGAAAAAGAAAAAAAAAAATCAGCACCAACAAAACAAGACTGAACACTTCCGTCTCTAATCACATAAAAGGGTGAGGAGGGATAGAAGAAAAAGAAGGGGGGGGAAATCTGTAGCTTAATATGAATATGTCTTTAATGCCCTAAGTTCCTGTCTTCAAAGCTGCCTGAGAGAATTTGCCTTTAAACTCCCTCTCCGTCCCTTCAGCCCTGTCCTCTTTCCCCTGATAAAAAACAGAACAAAAAGGAAACAGATAAAAGTTCAGCATCTCCGCTTGGGCTAAGTATCTGTGTGCATGTGTGGCAGAAGAACCCACCAGCGGTGAGTGTGGTGGGTGGCCACTCAGCTCAGGCTCTACCTCTATTCACCAGAGTGGAGGTGGGCAAACAGTGAGTGTGCCAATTACCAGATACCAAAGAAAATCAGAACAAAGCAAAACTGACAAAGTATATTGTCCACCTTTGTCCTTAGGTTCCCATGGTGTTTTTCTGTGGTGTTTCTGCTCACCCTGTTTCATCCCTCTGCTTGGTCTCACCCAGGATGTCGGCTCAAGCCTCTGTGCCCGGCCCAGCAGATTCAAAAGCATGCAATTTTTTACTTCAGCTGCAAACTCCATAAGCTATAAGCCTTCAAACCTTTAAAATATTCCTATCTCTGTGGTTCCAAGTTTTGGAGCTCTGCCCTGGATCTGCTTTGCCTGGTATTCTGTGCTATTGCTGACAGCGACCTTCACTGCACCTCCACCCTAGCCGCCATCAAGCCCCGCCCCTCACAAATACCCCTTTTAAAAAACATAAAAGGACGTCTGCACCAGCTGCGGGGCAAGATGGAGGCACTGATTTTGGAACCCTCCCTGTATACTGTCAAAGCCATCCTGATTCTGGATAATGATGGAGATCGACTTTTTGCCAAGTACTATGACGACACCTACCCCAGTGTCAAGGAGCAAAAGGCCTTTGAGAAGAACATTTTCAACAAGACTCATCGGACTGACAGTGAAATTGCCCTCTTGGAAGGCCTAACAGTGGTATACAAAAGCAGTATTGACCTCTATTTCTATGTGATTGGCAGCTCCTATGAAAATGAGCTAATGCTCATGGCCGTTCTGAACTGCCTCTTTGACTCATTGAGCCAGATGCTGAGGAAAAACGTAGAAAAACGAGCATTGCTGGAGAACATGGAGGGGCTCTTCCTGGCTGTGGATGAAATAGTGGACGGAGGGGTGATCCTAGAGAGTGATCCTCAGCAAGTGGTACACCGGGTGGCATTAAGGGGTGAAGATGTCCCCCTTACGGAGCAGACAGTGTCTCAGGTGCTGCAGTCGGCCAAAGAACAGATCAAGTGGTCCCTGCTTCGGTGAAGACCCCACTGTTCTGGCTCCTCCCTCCCTTCAAACATCGCATGTCTACTGTGACTTCTTACCTAGTCCCCTAATTGATACGCTCAGGGTCATCTTGGGGATCACAGGGATCCTTAAATTTCCATCCTATCTGTGGTTGGACCCCCCCATTACACACACATTTCCTGTTTTGTCTCACTATTCTTGCC